GTCAACCGTAGCGATTTCGTGAATTAATTCACTGGGACTCCATTGGAAATCCACCGCCATACCTGGCGCACCCATTCGTCCTTTCTTAACGCGGCGAGACTAACGTTGTGTTCTACTTTGCTTAGCCGTTTGTGGCTTCTTAAAACGATAATCCCTTCATAACGCATCACTGCTTCCGGGCATCTGATTATCAAGGGACAACAAGGTGCCGCTAGTGCCGGCATGGCGCCGCCTCCAATCTCAGATGTCACTAGCTTTCTTAGAGTTGTGACAGGTCTGCAATGTGTGGGGCGTGGGTACCGGCCAATTTCAGTGTCAACTCCAATCTTATCATGAGCTTCGTGATCCAGTGTCTGAGGTATGACACTGCACTGCTCTGGGCCACCACACATGCCTAATATTAGAAGGTCAGAAAAACAACTTCATACCCGCAATACATACAAATCTAATGACTCAAATTTACTCACCCATTCAGTTTCCACTCCACTGTCATTGAATGATCTGAATACCGCAGTCGTTCAGTTTGTGTGAAGCCCATCCCATCCCCATCTATTTCGTGGTCACGCTTTCGTTCGCCGGCCCCTGTGACCCGCGGCACCGGGTTGACCTTAGCGCGAGTGGTCATTTGCAGTGGGATCATCCAGCCGTCCGCCACGCGTCACTCCAGCTTTATGCCATTCTTAAATAACCAAGGTAGCTGATGCCCGTAAAACTACAACTGCGTTCCAGTCTGAGTGCAGTGATTCTCAAACAGCTTTGCTAAGTCAATCGCATGGAACCGTAGGGGACCGCACCGTATGGGATAGAACCAGACGGGATCAGACGGACGTGGACAGCCGAACGGGGCCGGACGGGACAGGACGGAACGTAATGATACCAGGCGGGACGGGACCGGATGGCACCGGACGGACCGAACGGATCGGATTGGACCAAAGGGTGAAAAACGACACGACGGGACCGGACGGCGCCGGATGGAGCGTGACGAGTCCAAGGACCGGGAAAGATTGAAAGAGATCTGTCCGGACCGGACGACACGACACGGGACAGGACGGTGCCACACTGGACCTGACACGATGGAACGGCGCTGAACGAGACCGGATGGGACTGAACGAGATTGGACGGGGTAAGAAGGGTCTGGAAAGTATTGGACAGGACTACACAGGACTGGACGGGACCGAAGGGGACAGACCAAGCCAAACGGAACCGAACGGCACTGACCAAATCAGACGGGACGGAGCGGAGCCAGATAATACTGGATGGGACTAGGTGGAACCAGACGAGCCCAAATGGGACTAGATCGGAACCTTCCGGACCCGAAGAGACCAGATCAGGTCTGCCTGGTCCCGGCCGGTCCCGTCCTGGTCCCGTCCGGTTTCGTCCTGCTTCGTCCCGTTCCCATTGGCCACATCCCTGAGCGTCCCATCCCCTCCCATCGCGCCAGGGCCTGTCGCGTCCCGTCGGGCTCCGTCCAGAACAACCTGGGACCGGATCTCATCCGTTCTATCCGATACCATCAGGTCTCTCCACGTCCATCCAGCCCCGTCCAGTGCCATCTGTTTCCATCCGGTCCCGTCTACCATAATGTATGTATCTACCATTCTATCATGTCCCATGGTCACGTTCTAGAGCGTTCAGCTCCATTCGCTCCAAATCGAGGAATCCGGGGAGAAAAATCGACGCGCAGTTGATTCTGAATCAATGCATTTCAAAACAATCCTGCTGAAGGTTCGTTCACACAAAGTCAATCTGACTTTAGAGTCAGCCCTGAGTGGAATTTCAATCGAGTACCGACTCCATCACTTAACGAACGATTGAAATGATGACTCTTAGATTATCCCTGCGTGAATTACGCATGGCATTGAGCAGCGCTTCTGCACAAGGCAACCATGCATATGCGCATCGTGTCGCGAAATACAAATATCATGCTCTGTGAAGCCATAGCACCTCCAATGATCACGTCCGTGGCATTTACGTCGCGGATTACAGAAGGTCATTACATCATTCGCTCGTTAAATCGGAAATTATATGTAAAGGTCACCTCAGAAATGTGAATGTAATGCTATTAGCTACATCTGAGGATACCCTACACGGAAAACGCGTTAAGGTCCCAAATGTCCCGGACTAATGATGATACGCTAATTGAAGAGTGGCTTTGCATATCACAGGTGGCGAAACGTGCTACACCTGACTGACGCGTAGCATAGGGCGCCTAGCAAAGGACAGCTTTGCCAAAAAGGACCCGTCCTTTCGTTCGCCCCCAGTCGCCGAGCCCTGCCAAATAACCGTAAGGAACAATCTCGAATCTTGGCGCTCCTGATGGCGAAGTATCCGATATATCATAGATGCAAACGGGGCCTCCAGCAAAGACCTCCTGATTAAACCCACCATCCCCAAGGTGTAAACGTCTAATACTGTACAGAAGGAAGTCTACAAGACGGCGGGCCGCAGTCACTGGACACAACGTATACTTTGCTCCGCTATATTACAGTACTTACTTGCGCCATAACCACACATTCTACACCAGGATAGTTCCTGGAATACACTTTACAGCTAATGGATCCTGCTTGTCACTTTATTCCTCCACTAACTTTAACAGGTGAGTTATGAGTCAGGACAGCCTCTGACACCACTAGATTTCAACAAGCGGGTTATGGGTCATGTTAGCTCGTGACGCAATGCCCTCACACCTTGATGGTTTCTGGCAGCTCCTCATCGCACACCTATCATCACACCTTGAATATACACATTCCAGGGAAGAAACCATAACACACATCCAAGGGCAGAAGTCTTGAACGCAAACATTCATCGGCAGCAAACAAGGACAGACTTCTTCCCAACCGTAGCGATTCCAGACCAACTTACTCGCGACAGCAGCGACCAGGCACGTGTCTGGTTCCGTATTGGTTCCTGTTTTCCACTGGTCCCATCGACAAAACAAACCCCGGATCCTGGTTTCCACTGGTTTCCACCAGTCAAATCAGGATGGGACAAAACCCTATATCCTGGCTTCTATTGGATCGTTCGAGAAACCAAGATCTTGGATCTTAGTCCTCACTGGTTCTTCCGACAAAACAAATCCTGGAACCTGGTTCCTAATGGTCCTTTCAAAACATCAAACCCTGGCTGCTGGTTCCTCGAGTTCATTAGAACACCATGGACACGGCTCCTGGCTCCTGGTTCTCATTGGTTCTTTAAAAACACGGGACGTTGAATACTGGCGGCCACTTATTTTTTACAAGCAGAAGACCCTGACTCACGGTTCTCAGCTACAGTCACGCAAGTCCTCCAGGGCAACCCACACATTTTTCCTTTCAGCTATTAAAAGACGCACACCAGAAGCTAGTCAAGCAATCAGCATGCCATGATGCAACCAATGTAACCAAGAAAGTTTAGCTGCTAGTTATATATCATTTACGTACAGCTTAGAAGCGAGCGTCGAGAGCTGAAACTACCACAACGGATAACTCCTATATTTCTGCGTTTACACCACCCAAAAGTCAGACACCACAGGCAAATAAAACAATCCTGATACCACCAGTGCAATTAACAAAGCTTGGCTGCTAGTTGAAGATCACTGCCTACAGCTTGGAATAAATGCCTCACAGCTGAAATTATCGCACAGGGTAATTAACATAGTCGTTTCACACGACATAGAAGTTACACACCGCAGGCAAGTCAAACAACATGCCTTCATATCGCCTTCACAACCAATAAAACTGTTCTGTTAGCTGAAGATCATTGCCTACAACCTAGAAGTGAGTGCCTGACACGTGAAACCATCACCTGGATGATCAACATACTTGCAACAAAACATTCAAAGACGCATTCTACAGGTAACATAGATGAAATAAGATCTTGCAATTTCCCACCGCATTCAAAGTAATACAAGCACAGCTAGATTTCCACCTACATAACCATCAGCGTCTACCTGAAATGCTGTCAGAGTTGCGCCAGCGTGGCAACAGTTTTTCTTTGAAAAAAGTTTTGTGTTTCCTCTGACAGAGGTGTGGCGATTGGGGAACCAGAAGGGGTTGAGACCTCTGACTTAAATTCAAAATAGCTCTGTATCATTTGTTTATGCTATGTGCATGTCCTTCTCTGTCAAACTTGCAAATTGCCATAAAATGGTGTCCCTCTTATTGACAACGCAGCAATATATGGTCAGATCCCACAGTCGTAGAACAGATGAGACGGATGAGATATAGGTCAGAAATCAGATATTGGCACAACCCGAGAATTGCCGCTAGTGTGGGCCGGTCAGCTGATAATTGGTCCTCCATCAAATGTCTACGAGCCTATACAGCCTCCGAGCAAATGTACAACAGAAGTAAGCTCATCTCTATTGCATGTCATCACACTTGATTCTATACTGATGCATTCCGGTAATAATAATTTACATGAATACAACTGTCCTTAAACTAGTTGTTTTCATAACGGTTATTAGAAAAACACGGGTTGACTAATTTCACCCAGCCGAGTCTGTGTTTTTGGCGTCGTTCGGTGCTACCCAATTTCTATTACCTTAGCAACCACGGTATAAACAAAACGTTTGGTGGAGTAGATGAGTTCAAGATGAGATACCCGGCATTTCTTCTACCGCAAAAATGCATGCACATTGGTGCTACACGGCAAAATGTATGCTTTAAAGACTTATGATCATTACACCTCCTGCAGAAACTTTCCAGTCTTTGCTTATACGAGACGTTGTTTCTTTCGCAAACAAGCTCACACACGGGGTAGAAAGTTATACTGCGAAAACTTCCCCTCGTCATTACTTTTAACAGCAAAGACAGTCTTTGCTTGTGCGCGATATTGCTTCTGCTGAAAAACTCACACAGGACATGAGTAAATATGTGGATCGTTAAACTTCGGTTACTCCAAGATTGTCGGCTTGGAGCTCCAGATCATCGATGGATGTCCTGCCCTGGCGTCGGGTTCTAGTGACACTCCCCGCCTCTAGCGATCACAGGTCACCACCGTCGCGTCTCCGCGTGACTTACCTTCCAGCAGAGGAGGTTCCTGGTCAAACTCGCCGGCCGGTCCCTCCTGGAACTGCGGGGTCGGCTCAGGCGTGAGCACGCTGCCGGCGTACATGGCCGGGTCCGGCTGCAGGTACGAGCTGGGGGCGCCACTGTCGGGCCGCGTAGGGGCACCACCGTAGTCGAACGACTGGAACCCCCTGATGATCACGCACGAAAACTTGGGTCAGCAAACGTAGCGCGTTCACGCTTCCATACCGTGCACATGTAGGCGCCTCCGCTTTTGAAACGAAATGATGCCAAAGATATCATACAGGACATGTGGAATCGAGCGACATTAAGGTGTCTATCAAAGCATGCACACTGTGCGGACAGGGACGCTCTCGGTATACTTACATGTTGTCGGTATACTTACATACTGCACTCTCTGATAACTTACATGTTGTCCTGCTGAAACCCATCGGCGTCCTCTCCCATGTTGTACTCGCCCCATCCGTAGTTTTGATTCTGATTATCTCCGTAAAAACCCGACATGGCGCCGACGGACCTAAAGCCAAGACCGGGCTGTCAGATAAACGCCGAGATTGTGCAATTAGATAGAGACCCATAAACGCTCCCGTAGCTCAATCGGCTACATCATCTGCTTCCCAACCTATCTGTGGCGGGGTGGAAGGGTTCGATTCATTTCGGCATTCGCTACTTGCTCTTGCCTGGGATCGTCAGCGGCCGTCGGCAATGGCGGTTCAAGGTCAGATGGGGTCAGAGGGCAGGGCAGGCCTTGCCGAGCATTACAGTACGTTAGAATTTTGCCACCAATTTGGTGTTGAACTAGAACGTCATCCTCGAGTGATGTGGTCAGATTTCACACAAGCACTGCATTGTGTGAGCTCCCGTCAAAACATTCTACTTCATAAAAAGTGGTGATGCATGGCTCATATTATTTTCACATGGCATTTCACACACTTTGGAAACACATGATCTGATATGATAACACTGGTTTAACAACATGCCAGGTCTTACCAAATAATTTTTATGAAATGCGCAAAAAGTTTAAATTAAGACACTTTACCATCACCATTTCATTGTTTCATTTGCTGTGTGCTTTAGCCAGGTATTTCCCTTCCTTTCACAAAAAAGTGTCAAAATGTTTAAATCAGCTTGGGCCCCATGGATGGGAAGCACAAGATCGAGCTATTGCAACCATGATTTTATAGCAATAATCTCATGATCCAATTATGGCATGGCACTATGTGGAAAAATTGAGTTAATTTGAGTTGTTTAGAGTAAAAGCTGCTTTTGGAAAAAGGATGTTCCATTAATTTTCCAGAGAAAAAACAAATGCTTCTTTAGAAGCCTCTAAACATTTCATGGAATCAGAGAATATGAAAATATAAGTGCTAACTCTTGAAGCAAGTACTTCATGAGGATGGCCTGTGGGCCACAACAAACAAAAGGTGGTTCAGAATAGGTGCATTAGATGCAAATGATTCTGGAGTTTACATAAAAAATGTGTGTCTGCTTGACATTGAATGGTGCTGATATTGCTTAAGGTTTAAAGGTGATGATGAAGTCTGACTAGTTTTTCAGCATTGAAAGCACTTCTGCACTGTGGAATAACTATATTTATACTACATGTTTATCTTTATCATGTTCATGACACAAAAAATATTTATACTTTTCACAACTTTAAGGGAAACAGTCAACACACATTTTTGCTATGTCAATGAAGTGACTTCATCCAAATAAGGGCCACCATGTCTTGATGCTTCTGGATTGTCAACTGTGGTGTTACGAAAGCAGGGAGCTTTAGGGTGGTCTTTCAAATGGTCTTGATGTCAATCTGCCCTTCCTCCAAGGTAATCTGCATTTCTGAATCTGATGACACCTTTTCCTGGACCAAAACAGATCCTACACACACCCTGATATCTTAATGTGAGCAAGTTACCATTTTCAGCTAGAACCTTGTAAACCTTTAACAATTAATCCACATAAATTGGTTGAAAAGCTGTTAAATTAAAGTCACATTCAGTAAAAGTTGGTTGATGAATTGGCTGCTGTTTGTTTCTTATCAAATGTTAGGGGATTAAATAGGATTAAAAGGGAGTTTTCAGCATTGTTCACATACAGACTGGACTAGCATTTCAGAAAATTTAACATTCAATCTGGAGGAAACTTCTACCAGAAGCATATCAAGACTATTAAGCCCTAAAGCTAAACATCATAATAAACCTTTCTAACAGTTCAATGTCCCCATACTGTAAGTGAGAAGCTGGTTGAGAGCTGGAAGGTTTGGTGAATACAAACCCACTGCATGACTGCCAGACAGGTCAAATCAATTATTTGCCTAGCATTTAGCCTTGAATAAATTTGTTCATACAAACAATACATGAAAATATACCTCATAAGATATACATCAACACAACATTCATATCAGTAACCTGGCACAACTATTCTCCAGATAGCGTGGGCTCAATCAGGCATCAATAGATCATTAGCAATCATTAGCACACTTTGCCCCACAGCTATTCTACCTGTTTCGCATTGGGGGACATTTCCAGTCTTATGTTATACAGCTGCCTTACCTGAGGCTTTTTGTAGGTTCTTCAAGTCAAAAGCAAGATGTACAGGTGGCCCGGTACCCGACAGCAATCAGACACAACAACGTTGCACTCAAGCATATTGCATGCGTTGGAGGAAGCCTTTTGGGTTTTTGACGCACATGCGTCGAGACTGTCGAATCAACTGATGAGAATGCCGGGTGTTCGCTAACAGTAACAGCGAATATTTGTCGAATCATTCAGGTCGCTTTCATTGCGTTAGCCAAGATCTGTGTTTCTTGACCAATGATCTTGCTAATCGTTATCTGCTAGGAGTAATATTTGTTTATGCCATACATTATCTGGTTGAATGCTGTGGGATATCCCTAGATAGCGTCAGATATTGCAGTGTTGAGTTCGCTGCAGTTAATCTGGAAAGGTAGCGCGTGGGGCGTGCAGATTTGGACCATTTTGGCGTGCTTTCCCTTCATTGGTTTACAATTTTGTTGGTAGCAATTTCGCTTCGGACCAAGTGCACCGTGAAAGTGCTGGCTTGCACGGGCTGCCATGTTGGTGTTTCCGACTCACCGTGTGATGTCAGGCTTTTTCCGGGAAATCGTGAATGTTTGTGGCCAGGAACGTCTGCTGCACCCAACCACACCCAACTGCACATGTATCAGCCGCGGCTGACGTGACTGAACAGCAGCCGTTCACGTGACACGTATCCACCGCGCTGGCGAATGCTGATGAAAACGCCCACTTCGTGTTTGTGCTGGCCTGGGGAGTGAGCAATCGGAGGGAAGTGCTGAAGGCTCAAAGCAATTTAACTACAGTGAAGGCCTTGAGCATCCAGGTTTGATATGTCTTCAGTGGTAGCTATTGGCATGCTAGGTTCTTAAACATATTTCAATATAGCCTAAATTTTAGGCCCTAAAATGTAGCATTTTTTTCTGACTGCTTGATTTAAGTGGGTGTTCTAGCAGCTTCATTGTTTGCCTTAAGACAATGAGCTGAATTAAGTTAGAATGCATCTGCATCTGCAATGTACTGAATGGATTTGCCTGCAAGGACATATATAAAATGTTGCCATGGGATGGGGATGATCTGCCCACTGTGGCAGACACTAACACAACATCGATGAGGTGAATCTGGAGCACACATTGCCAGACTCAGGTCAGGTCAAGTTATGCTTATTTCTCAGAATAAGATGTTTTAAATATCTATGAAGCATTTTTACTTGAAAGTATTAAGATGTATTATTATTCCTTGAAATATAAGCACTTTTCTGAAAGTGCTGGTGGCCTGTTTCAAACTTGTGGCTTAAATTTACAGTGGCAATGCCATGAAATGTATTTGGTGCAGTTTGAGGGTAACCATGGCTCTAGAGGCCAAATCAAAAAAGGTATCTTGAATTTAGAAGGATACTCATTTGAATGTGTTCCCTTGCTTCAAGAGCTGTGACCACAAGGTACTTGAGGCTGATGTTAAGATATTAATGCAAACTTGTTTTGGAACTATGATAGCTGTTATAATAGTCACCAGATCATTGGATCTATTCAAAGTGATAAGTTCTTAACAGTGCGCCAATATGTTGTACATGTTGTTTAAGATATGTGTTGTGTGTATACATATACATGTACAATGTGTGTACATATCAAAAAATATATACAAATAATATTTGCCAACAGATGGTCAGACATCAGATGTTCATCATTATGCTGCTTGGTTTTCAGATAATCAACATGCCTGATGAATCTCCTGATCAGAAGCAAGTCAGGTGGCTCCCACTGGAGTCCAACCCAGATGTGATGAATAGCTTCCTGCACAACTTGGGCCTTCCATCCAAGTGGGCTGTGACTGATGTGTATGGCCTGGATCCTGAAATGTTGGCTATGGTACCACAGCCAGTATCTGCTGTCCTGTTGCTCTACCCCCTAACAGAAAAGGTATGATGGTCTTTTAGGTTACCAGACATTAGTTAATCTAGTTTGTTCAGCTGCTGTAAGAGGATGTCATATTTATTATTGAACTTAACCTCTGGTATATAGCTTTGGCACATTGTTGTGAAAATGAACATTAAATGTCCTGTACTTTGTGAATCCCAGTTAATAATGAAAAATATCCTTAAGTGTTGGTGAGTAATGTACACCATTTAGCTACAAGGGAATATTCCGCATCTGAAGATATTAATGCAAGTATGAGGTATGATAAAATAGGCTCACTGATGGCTGTTGGTGTACTTTTGGGAAGAAAAGACAGCACCAAACAACTATATTTCCCTATCTAATAAATCTTATTTCCATTGCTTGATTATATCATGGAGCATTTGTATGACAGTTGTTGTCAAACTGGCTGTGCAAAATTGCCAGCCTAGCACTCACATGCAGTACTTTGATCTCCATAGAGGTGGTTATGGCAGTGCCTCAAAATGTTTACTTAGTCAAATAGCCAAATATTGTTATTTGCTCATGTTGTTGCACTTTTTCATGGTGTTCTTGCATATGAATCAGTGAGTTTAAGATGTTAACTTGTATTCACATACTGATTGTGGTGCTATTCACAGGCTATTCAAATACCAGTCTGATTTCTTTAATAAACAGCAACCATGTCAAACTTCTTATATTATGCAGCACAGAATGCTAGTTGTGGGTGGAATTTTCACAGCCTGCTTAGCATTGATTGAAAGCTAGTTGATGCCACTCACTCTATTAGGAAGTCAGGCCCATGAACACCAGATCTGAGCGATTGACCTCTTACCGTGGCATGCTTGTCCAACTGGCCTTGAAATGCTCAGAAATTGGAAGGTTTTGAGTCTTAAGAATGGCACGGCTGTGAACCTCACCGGATGATCGTCAGAACGGGTTTTAGCTCAAATCTTAGAGAAAGAGAACCCTTTAACTTATAAACCCTTTAAGTTGGTTGTATTTTACATTTAATCTGAAGCTTTCGAATGGATGCTGGCTGGTGCGCACGCTAAACCTGGCTTGCTGTGTGGGCCGTGCTCCGTACCATCCCATAGCACAACTTCAAACCAACGGCATAATTCGCTGGCGAGAGTTAAGGTGCCGTAAGACCCGGCACGGTTCATCCCGCCCTCTGGCTAGACCGGCCGCAGGCCGTGCTTGTGAAGGTAAATAGCGAGCGCCCAAAGCGACTCGAACCCACCCCGCCACGGATGGATGAGTTGGAATGCAGGCACTCTAACCAACTGAGCTACCGCGACGGACAAACGTCGCACGACGTAGTCAGTGACGTAGTGAGTGACAAATTTATGTCTTTGAATAGTTAAATGTACTGCACCATTAAATATCTAGCATTCTTTTACATGCATGTTCCCATTTTAATTTTTCGGGAATTCGTCTTCTCAGGAGGTTGGCCCCGAGAAACTGATAAATGTTTTGCAGAATTACCACGTCCATCCTCAAAACAGTCCGCGTACATTTTCTGCAGTAGCAACTAACTGCTATCTCGCTCTGAGAATACTGGTGTCACTGGAGTGTGTCCAATCCAGGTGGTATACAAATTTTACATGACGTGAACGTCAAATGTTCAATGGTTACTTTGCAAGGCGAAGTTAAATGCCTCGTAAGCCAATAGTTAAATGTTCGCAAGCCAATTTGTTAAGTTTTAAAATCTCGCAGGGAAACCAGATAAACACCATGGGGCACTATTAACGCCGCTTTTCTGTGATAGGCCTCCACCTGGCAGGTCCAGACGCCGCTGTACGGATTATGTATTCCGATAGGCTTGCAGCTTTATCATATTGCATGTGTTTTGGCATCCGTCCACGCTTTCTTAATTTGTGTCGCATAAATGTGGTGCTAAAGTATGATTTAAGTATGACTGTCTCATCACGTATGAGAGTCGTATTCTTCGTTAGGTCACCGAAACAATGCGTGCCATTTTACGATTTCACAATTCCCTGAAATACGATGGAAGTATACCGTACGCCTCTGCCGTCATTTAGTTCCGCACAGCGCATATCAGCCTCGACAAAAAAAGAGCGTGGAGCCGGCTTAGGTTTTTTTTCTTTCTTTTGGAAACCTGACAAAACGTGCTTTATGGGAACGATTTGAATTGGTGCCGGTGGCGCGTGCGACGGAGAACTGCAAGTAATGCACCAGTACGCCCGGTCTTTTTTCTTCCTTTTTAGTTCTTCGGTGAGCATTTGCCAGGTTATTTACTTGTATTCACAGTTTGTATGGCGTTTGTAAGAAACTGATTGTAATCACGATCTTAGCTTTGCCTCAAAATGCAGTGGAAATGTGGCACACAACCTTGTGTTTGCTACCCTTCATGGGCAGCAAGCTGCCTCCAGGAAAAGGCAGCCTTCAACTGCCTCTGTGACCGAATCGTGTTCATATTTTGGCATAACACGCAGATATATAACTTCTATAATGTTCACATAATTTCGGAGTTTAACGGGGACTGCTCAAGGAGCAGCAAGGGAAAACACGGATGGGCAGAATCTGCCCTCCGCCGTAAATAGTATTAGGGGTTCAGCAAGAATTAAGGTCAATTAAACATATTCATGTATATTCGCAATCATAATCATATCGACATAACAGTGCCTATAATTTTGCCCAGGCATGACCCTGGTGCAGATGGTGTTTTCGCTCCTCTCACTAGCTGGCTTATTTCTAACAGGCCGTGACAGCATCCGCCGATGAAGACGCCAAGATACAGGCGGAAGGTCAGGTCCAGTCACCGAAAGTGTACTTCATGAGGCAGACGATCGGGAACGCCTGCGGAACGGTCGCCCTCATGCACGCGCTGGCCAACAACAAGGAGATGTGAGTGCCGGAGGCGCTACGACTCAGTAGTTATAATTGTTGTGGTAGCTTCGTCCCATCGGGCAACAGTGTCGGATGTGATAGACATCAATGGGCATGGTGCCCGTTGGATGGCAGCATTCCGGTGGAAAGTGGACGGGCAGTCTTGGTTACTTTAGCTCTTTCGACCGACCCAATGAAGGGACGAGCATTTACAGATGCATTGTGTTCTCGTGAGCCACAGCAGCGGCTGTCGTCTATTTCGAAATGTCGCACTGGCTCGTTGGGCTGGATTGGAATAGCCCACTGTTTTAGTGCCCTGTACTGGCTTCCGGCAGTCATTTCTAGGGGTGCCCGCATTACTTTTTGGTGTCTGTTGCCAAGAATGGGAGTATCTTTTTTTAGTTCGTCTTGTGAGACATGCGCACTAATTGTCTGTCCAGCGGGGCTGTGCGGCCTATTGGAAGCGGACCGCCACGACGCCGACGCCGGGCGTGTCTGCCGTGACCGCGGCCGGGGGCATCTGACTGTCGCGTCGTCGCCGCCGGCAGGCTGCAGCTGGAAAGCGGCCCGCTGGCCGAATTCTTCAGCCGGACGGCGCAGCAGACGCCCGAGGAGCGAGCGGCGGCGCTGCAGCTGTTTCAGCAGCTGGAGGCGGCGCACGAGGCGGCCGGCCATCAGGGCCAGACGGAGGCGCCCTCGCGCCACGATCGGCTCGACACACACTTCATCGCGTTCGTGCACGTGGACGGTCACTTATATGAGCTGGGTGAGCGCGGAGGGACCGCTCGCTGCTTACGGCAGGCGGTGGGATGGGCGGGATGATGTCATTGGGAGAGGAATGTCCCACAGCTGGGTTCGATGGATTTGCCGATGCCAGCCTGGTTTGCTGATGGAACCCATCAGACTCAAATGTCAAACAGATATTTCTTATGACATTTGCCTTTGTACCGTGGTATGACTTGTAGAATGTGTAGTAATTTGGTGGCTGCAAAAGAGGCGAGTATTAAGAATATAAATATTAAGCATGACGCAGAATGAAATGGTGGCTTATCCAACTTCCAGCATGTTTACTAGTTTGCACGGAGACCCTGCCGGTCATTCCGCGAACTAAACCTTCTCGTGGTGCCAACAGATGGGAGGCGTCCGGCCCCGGTCAACCACGGCCCTACGTCTCAGGGGAGCCTGCTGCCTGACGCTGCCAAGGTGGTGAAGTCATTCATGGAGCGTGACCCGACTGAGGTCAACTTCTCCGTTCTGGCGCTGGCCAGCGCCCAGTGATATGGGGTCGGCTTGACGGGGGCGCCTGGGGCACAGACGATCTCTGAAGACTGCACGCGGCTGCTGAAGGGTACATCCAAAGCAATTTAACCACGCTCTTATTTCATGCAACTAATTGACACTGGGAAGAACCGTTTTGCATTCTCCTTGGCCGAAGTTTGGTTTTGGTCAGTTGCTGACGAGAGCAAAACGTTTTGTATTTGTCGTGCATTATGAAAGACACTTCGACAATACACATTCTGTGATAAGCACGTTTGCGACGTCTTCGTTGTTTCCTTGGTTGACTGTTGTGATGGGAGTCTGAAAATTGCGTATCCATGGCAACCTTCCTGGTTGAATGATGGCTCAAAAACTCCTTAGAGACCTGTCATGCACCTTATGATTGAAATTTCCTTAGTGTCGGACACCGGCAATGACGTCACAGCCCATGTCGCTATGTTCTCTTGCGCAACGTTTTTGCATGGTGCAGGGATTTTATTAATAATTTTCGTGGGAGGAAACTAGAGGCAATTCCACGATGCGTGCCTTACCACACACCGTAACGACACCCCTGTTGGACGTGTCTGGACAAAATGTCGGCCAGTGGAAGGATGGTGTACCCTTGCTCGCCATGTGTTGAGTTGGGATAAGGAGCGCGGTGGTAGACCCAATGCGTGTTGCTCTAAAAGAAAGCCTTTTCACATTAGTGGTTAGCCAGTTATGGTTTTGGAGGTTTGCCTTGTAACTGCCGATCACAGCTTCCCTCAGTTGTAGCAGCCAGATGCGCAGTTCCGTTAATGGTTTACTGCGCGAGTTTAAAAGGATCGCGCGCGCTGGTAGATACGGTGTGATCCTTCTGCAGCACTGGAATGTGAACATAGCGTGTCATTCCTACCCGATCTACTTGGGACTTGTCATTCGTTAGTTGTGAAAAACTACGCAGCACAGGTCGAAGTCGGGCGTGGATTCCGGCGTTCATGGGTCGCGGCGAGGCGGGGCCAGTTCCCTGTGACGGAGAAAACAACGCGTAATTCAACTGGCAAAAGTATGGCTCGCAAAACAGCTGAGGCGTCAACCCTGGACCTGCTGGTTCTCTTCTGCGATTTTATGGGGGCTGGTGTTAGATTTCGGCACTCGGAAGGCTGCGAAAGTGAAAACGGCTGCGCTGCAGGAAAGCTTGACGTTTACAAGCACCGGACGACCGCGTCGCTGAGGTGTGGGTACGCCACATGTCGACCGGGAAGCAGCCAACGGCACATTTTTTTTAAACCGGCAATAAGTACAACATAGGGTCTGATGTAAGTCCAGCCATGAAAACCACGCAGGATTACGCACTGGATAGCTCACCTCGACCAATATCCACTCGGAATGTGTGCATTTTACGCGACGTTTTGATGACGTTCGCAAACACGTAGCAAGAACTCGTTGATTTCGCGAGCTTAAATGTCAGACCAATGGATTCACGGTTGGCCTGTCTTAAGTAGCAGGATTTTTGTGTGACCGCGAGCACACATGAGCGAACCTCTGCCTGCTAACTTACACTGAAAAACGCGCTCCCTATTGTGCCGAGCTGACCCTTTGCTACGTTTGCCAAAAATGCCCTAGTACGCCAACTTAGACACCATGTACAGATATAAAGTTTTACCATGCACATGATGACTGCGTCTACGTTTGCTAGCACAACGCTCGTCGCACGAGGCATTGCTGGTTGCATGCACGGTCACTTAATCTATGCAAGTTCAAAATTGCAAGTACATGCTGCAGGCTGCAATCTGCACGTTGCAGGTTAGCTTGTATGCAGGTTGCGAGCATATCTTTCTGGTGAGTATGATGTCAAATGAAATAATCTCCATAACATGTCACATTTTAGTTATGTAAAAATGTCATTTACAGTATTAGTACACATTGGGAGTTCAAATGGAACTGTTCAATAGTTATCGAATCATTTAGAGATTATTCGGTTTGGGAGCTGTACCATTTCCTGGTAGATTTTGAGCTATTGGTTTGGATTTTAGCCGGTAGATAACGGTAGCCAAATTTGGCCTCTGCCGACGAGTGACAGCGCTGTCCAAGTAAAGCGCTATGCGTGTACATGGAGACACGTTTTGTTTATGCACGCAAAACTCGCCGTGTCATCACCTCTTCGATGTCATGCGTATTCAAGAATGCAAAACGTTGATCTCGGGGTCGTGCCCTCGAAAATGGCTGGTCACTCGGCAGCAACTGCGCGGTGGTCGTGGAAGGCTTTTGTCGAGTTACCTGCGGCTTTATTGCTGGCGACGAATAAAATTATCCGCGGCGCCGCGGCGCATCTGTTATTTGACTTCGTATTGATGATGTTTGATATGGTGCATTCGTTCCTGAAGCGCGGCCGCCTCCCTCCGTAGCAAGCTCCTCCCCGGTGGGCTGCTCTGGTGCCGCCACTGGCAGGCTGCCGGCGCCCTCCACCGCCGTTGGTCGTACTCAGACTGCCCCTCCCCCCCCCCCCCCCCCCGCCCTGTGGCGGCCTGCTCTGTGTGATGGGTCGTCATTTGTGCGGCACGTCTCGGGTGTGCAGTTGGCTGCCACCGCGCTAGCGCGCCGCTCATGACTGCTCCGGCAGTTGCCGCAGAGCCGCCCCAAAATAAACAATTGGCTGACGGCGCCGAGCCGGCTCGAGGCTTCACAGCACCCCGGCTGTAGTGAGTCCTTCGCGCTGTGGCAGGCCGAGTGTAACGTCACCACCGCTGTATGCCACGTCTGACCGCCGCTGCAGCGGTCCCGCAGCCGTGGGATAAGCAGCCGCATCATCAGCCGGCTGCGGAGCGCTGATGGCCGCGGCGAGCTTGCGCTGCCAGGCGGCCCACATGTCACACTGTGCGCCTGCGGTGTTGATCTGCGTGCTCACGACTCAACCCTGTTGTTCGTCTGCTTCTGTATGATGTCGTTCGCAACTGCTCCACTTTATCAAACTCGAACGATTCATCGGTGGCTGTTTTTCCTGCAGCCAACTAAGTTATCAATCCTTTCTTACAACGCTGATAGTGGCAGCGTAAATATTTCAAATTGTGAAACGCTGTCCTGGCAAGTACCGTTCACATGGCGTCCTACTTTCACGAATTAACGGCTCCCGGGCTGGCGCATGGGAATCCCCACCCCATCATACAGACATCATAAGCACGTGCATTAATAGTAAGATATGCAGCATTTGAAAGTAAGCTACCCTCATATCAGATATGTGGTAGGTGATAACGCAAGATAACCTATACCTTTTGAAGACCTCACAGCATCTGGAACCGCTGATCGTGACCAAGCATCCGGCTCGGTGGTCTGCTGCGGTTAGACTGGGGTCGATACAGTCAAGTACCATCCTGACCGAGCTAACGGCACTGTCTCACGGCAGGTGATAGCTCCTGGCCGGCGCCGACCGGCGGCGCCCGCCGGCAACGCGCTCCGATATCCGGTTACGCCGGCGCCGAGCCTCTGACTCATCCGAGTCAGAATCCGTGATATTTCCTGGTAAAAGCCGGGCCGTCGCTGGAACCCAGCTGGCATACCAAGCAGCGTGTGGGCCGGGGCGTAAGTGTGTGAGTGTTTGAGTGACGGGCGGTCTGCGGAGCGGCGACGGCCGGGAGAAACGCTGGACCGTCGGCGCCAGGTCTGCTACCAAAGCTGACTGCAGCAGACTGCTGGGACAGGGGTGCTGCTCACATCATGCATAAGTCAGGAGCGCGCGATGGCTCAATGACTGAACGCCCAGGCAACGAATGCGCAGCGGGAAAGGACTCTGCTTCAAACGTGTTGGAAAAGAAATGGACTTTGCAGATGGACGAGAGCTGAGAAGGAGGCCCAGTAGATTAGGTCTAGAAAAATATTTGACTCTGCTAAAGCTGGCAGTTTAAAGTGGTTAAAATTTCGGCAAAATCACACAAAATCTCCGGTACAACTTTCACCGCCACCAAACCGAACAACTCTCGTCGTCGTGTTGCAATATCCAAAACTTGGCTTCGTACTTCCATGGGACTCTTTAAAGGGAGCATGCCACTTTTGTATGGGGTTTTGAATTGCACCATCAAAAATGTACCATCAGCTGGGTAAGCCCTTCCATTTCTTTTATGTGCTCAACGTAGGAAATGGAATGCCACATTTAAAACAAAAATGAAGCAAGCAACGGATATGATGAACTGCATCCACTTGCAGTGATGAGTATACTTTTTCGAGGAAAACTGCTCTAAACAACACAATTCTCTATTCATTCTCCCCACTACGCTATTGTTTGGTCGCGTAATACAATGCTCGTTTAACGCTGAGGTGTTACCTAACAAGCCGTGCGACATTGCCACCCAAGCATTCACGTGAAGTGCCTCAAACTCGCCGATAGATGGCAGTGGCGGAGCTGAAAGTCTGCTAAGCCAAATATCGTTTTGAGTTCGTATTTTGGCCCTTTCTCGTAGTGTTCTTGCATATGTTTCCGTGAGTTTAAATGTTTGTGTGTATTCACATACTTGGCTATGGCGCTATTCTTAAGTTTTTCGATTGCAAGCCGATCGATTGCAAGATTGCAATTCGTAATAGCTAGCAGTTATGTCCAACTTCTCATATTATGAAATACAAAACAAGAGAACCCTGACTGACACAGCACGCAGACAGGCTCTCGTCGACCCATTCGGTGGCCACATACCCGTCTGGCACGACCTCAGCGAGTGGTTTGCTCCTTTTGCGGCTCTCAGCCAAGGGGCCATTTTTCACATCGTCGTTCTCATCGCTTTTCCGTTCGCACTAGCTCCAAACACACCTTTTCGCTTGATTCTTGTTGGTCCCTTCTCGCTCCCCTAATATGGGGAAGCGAAGTAAGCGCAAGAAGGATGGCACTGACAAGGACTCGAACTCGGCCTCTGACCTTGATAATGCCCTGGATATAGACGACGGGAGTGTCGCCAGCCCCGCTTTGGGTGCTGCTTCGCCTGATGACCTTCGCGCGCCCCAGGCCATGACCGTTGGTATGCACACTTCCACCGCGGTGGGTGGACAACAGACTCCGTCTCCGTCCAACGCCTCCGGTTCCGACCCTCGCTCGTCTTTGAACACTCCGGTGCCTGCTCCCCCTGATGCTGACCCTCTCTCGACAATGACCAGTGTTCGCCAGCCCTCTGAGCCAATTCTGGATCCTCTCGGATCGTACGTTGTCGTCCAACCTTGCGAAGAAAATGTGTCGTTTCGAAAGATCAACGTTTTTTGGCCATCAAAGCAAATCAAGGCTATCTGCGGTCCGTGCGAACTCAAAATTGAAGCACCAGCAAACGGAT